AAAAAGATTAACATCGGCTTCCCGAAAAGTGCTGGGAGCTAGTTTGAGCTGTTTCGGAAATACTCGTAATTTTGCCGAACATGCGTTTAATAGCCCAGAATTTCCACTTCGCTTAAATTCTGTCATTAATAAAAATAATGTTATGCCGATCAGAATCAGCTCCCAGCACTTTTCAAAATATACAAGAAATAAGCAATTGATATTCCATATTTCAGCTCAAACAGTCTAGTCTATGCCCTTGCACTTTTGAGCTTAATCAGGTATACACTCATCGTGTTAGCGATATTCTTGACATACTTTGTCTTTGTGCAGCTCCATAGCACCTGGATATATTAATAATCTACATTATTGTTTTAAAGAAATCATTTCCTTTTAATTTTATTGATTAGATTTAAACATTAGCAATGGTTTAATATTTATTTAAGCATTTTTGTAATTATTAAACCAATGGATCCACGCCTCTTGATCACTTGTACTGCGTCAAGTCAAGGCTAGTGACGTCATTTATGAAGCAAGATTTGCTTCTAATAACTCGGCAGTATAGTTATCAGATGTTGTGATTTTACATGCTTTTTTAAATAATTGATAAAATAAATGAATGCAAGATGTTATTTACGCATTATCATGTGGTTAAATAGATTTTTGTCGCTTGTTAAATTTTCAATGACGTCACAATGAAACTCACATACGGTGCATCACAGATGTGAACTCAGGCCTTCCTTAACATAGCTGAGTAAGGATGTCCAATAAATGGTTATTTATATCAAGACTATATTGTCACATGATTATATTATTATGAATATATTATGAATAGAATATTATGATTTCTATACCACGATCAAGGGTTTCTTCAAACTTAAGTTAACAAGAAGCCCGAGGGCCTAACGGTAACCTGAGTATAATACAACACTGTAAAGGATCCATAGAGGTATAAAGCAAAATTAGCTAGAAGATGAATATATGTTGCCAAAGAATTTCAAAAATCTGGTAAAAATGCCCTTGCTTTCTTATTGTAACATGCGAGACCCGAGCGATCTCCTTGGGATGGTACTTGGTTTGCCCAAGTCTTACAAGGATGATAATGAATGCAAAATATACAAATACAATTGGCACTTGCTTAGTGTGTAAGGTATTTAATTTATTCAGATATGTTAGTGTCACTTGCCTAGTGCTACAATTATGTACACAAAGAGAAATCTCTAAAAACTGTATATTAAGAAGAGGTGATACCTCTTGGCTACACAAACAACTTAGCTGCTTGCCACTTGGTAACACTTGCAATTGATACCAACACTTGTCTCTTGGGTATACTAACAACTTGGAAATACTTCTTACCAGCACTCACCACTTGAACAATTGCCACTTGTCACAAACTTCAGCATGTCTCGTAGTCACTCTGTCTCTCTGTGATCACTTGGTCAATTTGATAAAGTATAAAACACTTTTATGCAGACTTATACCAACTAATCTATGGCCTCCATGACTTTATCTGACAATAATTCATAAATTAACAATCAAGACACCACTTATATACATATATCTTGCACAATTGCTATTTTGCTACACAAATAATCTTTTAATCTATTTTTTATAATGCTTTACAGGCAAGAATCCGACTTTGAGCATACCTTGCTCATTTAACCAAATATTCATTTTTATTTTGTTTATATATATATATATATATATATATATATATATATATATATATATATATATATATATATATATATATATATATATATATATATATATATATATATATGACATTCTCTTGTATTCTCATTCAATCAAATAGCATGTTAATTAAATTACATGTATATACAAGGATTTCTTGATTAATACAATTAATTTAGCAAAGGGGAATAACTCTCATTTCTTCACTTACTACAATTTTGAGCTCTGTTTGCCTCCTAAATACTCAGGAGCAGAGAAGAGGAACATTAACTTATATTAATACATTTACATTTATATTATTGCATTTAGATTTGCTTAATACTCGGGTACAGAGGAGAAGATTTTCAAAGAATTGATGCATTTTCACTATAACCATATGAGCCCCGCCCGAACACCAGAACCCCTGAGCCAGGGGTAATGATTTTCACAATTTGGGAAGAGGCACCCTTGCTTATCATTATTATGCAATTAGTTTGTTTGCTTAATGCCAAGGAGCAGAGGAGAAGATTTTTTTTTAAGAATTAATGCATTTTCAATAGATAATCAACAGAGCTCCAGCCCTAGCACCATAAACCCTGACCCTGGGGCCATGAATTTCACAATTTTTGTAGAGGGCTCAATGTTTATTACAATCTTGCCAATAGTTTGACTTCTTGAGGTCAAGAGTAAAAAAGAAGACTTTTAAAGACTGCATCAATGTTGATGTTTTTAGCCCAAACCCTCTTGCCCCAGGGGGGTAGGGGCCATGAATTTCAGTTTTTGTTTCCCTTCACTATAGATGTTATATGCCAATATTGGTTGAAATTGGTTCATTGGTGCCAGAGAAGAAGCTGAAAATGTTCAAAAGTTTACGACCGACAGACGATGAACAACCAACGACGTACGACGACGGTAAAACAGGTAGCAATAGGTCATCTGAGTGACTCAGGTGACCTGAAAACGTTAACTTATTCGTTACTTATTTTGATACCCATTGAAATGCCAATGGAAACATGAAACTACACTTACTTTAGACATGTTTTAATATCTTTTGTGTATTTTATACACTCCGGTTTCATGGAGTGCTTAATAGCACAGCAAAAAAGAGCTTATTTTCTTTTTCTAATATTTGACTTAATGCATTTTTATTCTTTCTAAAACATCTAAACATTATATAGGGAAGCGGATCTAATGGTTGTGACCAAAAAAGAAAAGGAAAAAAAAACAAACTAAAACACACTTAAATGACATGTCCAAATACATATTTTTGGAACAACATCTTCGGTAGACTACGCTATTTACCTCTTTACGTATTCAACTGGATATATCCGTTTTAATGATGTCTCGTCTGATTCTTTACGCTAACTCTATCGGATAGATTCTAATGTACAATTTCATAAGTAACAACCCCTTTTATTGAAAATTTATTTTTATCCTATAATCACGATTATGCAAGAAATCAAAAGATATATATTTTGTATTCATCTCTTAATAGAAAATGAATACTGATAATGAATACGACAAAATTTTGGCCAAAGAATGATTACTTTGTAAATTAACAATTTTGCATTAAATACTATGCAAAATTGTTAATTTATGAAGTATTCATTTTTTGGTCAAAATTTTGTTGTATTCATCATCAGTGTGACTGTAGCAAGAAATTTGGTACTCACCATGTTGCGCCTTTCGGCCATTTGGCCACAAAATGCAAGTAATGCAAAAAGTAGGTAAAAATAGCTACTTTGGGTAGGTTTGAATACATAGATAGCTATTAATAGCTACGTAGGTAGAAATAGTCTTTGGACTGGACCTGATTATTACAGAAATGGGGAATTGCGTTTTAACTTCAAATTTTAAAATGAGTATCCAAAATTTAAAAAGAGCACCGCTAAGCGGAGCATCCCATCGCAACAGGAACTTTACCGGTAATGGGAATGTCTCCATACGAGAGAAAAATTCTCAAGAGAGACGTCAAACAAGATACAATCATCTAGTAATAAAGGGCGCCCTGTATTACTAAAGTTTAAAATAACGTAAAGAAATTAAAATGTATTTGCAACACTAATTAAATTTTAAACAAAAATCAAGGTGGATATCATCCGGGGGGGGGGGGGGGGGGACTTGGTCCCTTTTTTTTTTTTTTTTTTTTTTTTTTTTTTTTTTTTTTTTACAAAAATCTTTATGGGGGAGGTGGGGGCATAACATGCATAAGTGACTGGGCAGTTTCCCTTATTCCTAGCAGAAACATATCACGTATGCTCTAAATTTCAGTAATTTTTCTACCCGAGTATACATCACAGTTGCATGCAATAAGCATCAAATCTGAGAATTCCCACGGAAGCAATACTTTTCCGTAATGTAAAATGACAATATACCGATGTTGAGACGTCGATGAAACTTGTGAAATGTCTTTATAGCTTTCAAGAATTACGTGCGCCTCAAGAATAAATTCCATACTGTAAACAGACACATGTGGTAATTGGCAATGAAACTGCGACGTTAATCAAATTATTTCAATTACTCAATGACAGAGATGACAGTTTTAATTCATACAGACTGTCTCAAGATACGCACAATAATATGACAATACGCAAATACAAAGTTAGTACACCAACTTACCGAAGCAACCCGAATTTACCCGGTCAACAGCGAACCAGTTTAATTAACCGGAAGTGAGTATTGTAAATTCGTACATAAATTTTCAGGGTTCGAAGGTAGTAAAAACGCGATATTTTAAAAAAAAAATATTTCACCGGTTTACTTTAAAATGAATAGGGTTTGTCCTTTTTCAATGCCACAAATGTGGAGGCTGAGAATTGATAGTGCAAAGATTCTCTTTAAATCTTGTTCAAAAGCTGTAACGGACACACTAACATACACACATACGCACAGATGCTATATCCCCTCCACAACTAGTTCACGAGGGGATAAATATCTCAAATTTCCAAAATCTCACAATATTTTTTGTAAAATATCGACTCTTGTAAACTAAACAGTGTTGTTTCGCCGCTTATCTCGACGTCAGTTTTTCAAAAGTTTTTTTTAAGCTTAGATGATCATTGGGTATAATGGTTAATATTCTCCTATCAACATACTCTGCTCTGCTTGATTTGATACTAGTTTAAAAGGGTTTTTTTCTGGATATGTTTATCAATTGTTGTTACCGATTTCGTATATTAAACATACTTTTTTTAATAATTCATATGCACTTAACAAAAACTAACACATCATTGTACAAGATACTTAATTTTATAGATTACTTACATGAATTTGATAGACGAATATAAAATTTAAGAAAGGAAATAAAACAAATATTTTATAAAAAGACGCACAGCTACTAATTTTATTCATTATACATGAAAAATAGTCCTTGCTTTTTTAACCAGTGGGGGAGCCAGATGGAGGTACTGAACCATTGCTAAAGTCACCAATCGTCATATCTGTCAAAGAAAATACACTTGAGCACACACACACTGGTGTAGAATAATAAAGACGTAAAACTGTAGGCTAATAATGCACTTTGGCCATTTACAATTTTGTTACGAAAGGCATTGTAAAGTAGAAGTAATTATTTTTTGATTTTTTTTATCAACGTGCTTCTTGAATAACTCTTGGAGTGAATAAAATTAAAGAAAATGACAGCATTAAAGCAGAGCTACAAGGTAATGAGCCGACATACAAAGACCACCATGCAAAACAGAGAAACATATTTAAGTAAAGGATGCACCGAAATACATATATGTTGCTATAGCAGTTTTTGTTATCTGATGTTTGTATTGTAGAACTATATGCGTTCACTTTTGACTTTTCTAAACTGTTAAGCTATAAAGATTCCTTTTATCGGAAACACTGTGTTATAAATATATTGAGTATTCAATTAAGTCCCGAGTGAAAGCAATATTTGATAAGGTTTATTCTGTCAACGTCAACGAAGGACTAAATATCTTAAAACATTTCTGAATTCAAATGGAACTTCTGCGCCTTTTCATTTTTTATGCCTTTTCTTGCTCATGTTTTCTTTTTAAATTAGTTTATTTGTTTGCTTATTGGTTGGTTTCTGTTTTCCTTTCTTTTCCTTTTTTTTTAATTTGTTTTTTATTTGTTCATTTGTTTTGAATTGGTTGGTTTATTACCACCAGAACATTCAAGAAATGGAATGTAAATTCAGAACAGTATTTGGGACCAGACCTCTTAACAAATGCATCATGTATCGCTCAAGTAATTAAATGATTTTGGTTGACATTGAATTTAGAATTAAAAGAATAGTCATACATTGGAAGAAAAGCTATTTAATTTATCAAGCTTTACAAATACTGATTGTTTTTTGTTTAGCCTGTAGCAGCTGAAGTAGGGATAGAAGCAGGTGCTGCATTACTGCTTGCGGGTATGTTTGCTGAACTGGCGGGGGGAACGGTTGTGGGGCTTGCGGGAGGTGTGGGAGTTGTTGCGGGAGATGTGGGAGTTGTTGCGGGAGGAGGCCTAGGAGTTGTTATTACTGAGCCATTGCTAAAGTCAGCAAGCGTCATATCTGTCAAACAAAGCAATGTAAAAAATGCAAAGAGCGAGAGAAAAGCATTTAGCATAGAAACACCAATAAATCTTTTGAAAGCACATCGGAGAGGGAAAAAAGCGGGGATATGCTATTCTGCATATACATGTATTTAGATCTGGAATCAAAATTATCTTATAAACGCAAACTTGAAGTCTTTCATTTGCTTATGCCATTTCAACCTATTGAAGTTTAAATTGTAGTTCATGGTGATGATATCCTGTAAGAGGATGGTTCTGTGGATGTAAGGGATAAGAGGATAAGATTAAAATGTCATGGGGGGGGGGGTCATTGATGAAATCAGTGATGTAACCTTTTATCAAAACATGCATGTCTCATTTTTTAAAATATTTTTTTTATCAAGTAATTATTGATTTTAAGATGGAAAAATCGAAAAAAGAACACCATTGTCTGCTACGTTTATCTAAGTGTACGCCACATTTAGTCTTGTTAAGTAAAATGGCACAAAAAATAAATTGTTCTGTTCTGAGATCTGAACTTTTTATAAAATTCATTTATAGTCATGGATATATTTCTTTTTAAAATTCTTTTATAGTCTTGGATACATTTCTTATCTTTTCACCACAGTGCAATACTTTATTTTTTTCATTTTATATATATTAACCATTTGAAATAATAAAACTTACATTTATGAAAAATATAATGACAAGGCGATGTTCTTCCATGTGACTTTCTTTCTATAAATACTAGTGAGCACAAAGCAACTTACTTTTCCTGAGTTCAAAACAGTCAGCTGCGTTACATCTGTCACCCTTACAGCATGAATCACAAATAGGTGTACCTTGATCACCGTGAATAACTCTACCTGGTCTTCCATGAAAAGTTGTGTTTTTGTTATCATTTTCTAACATAGCATGACAAACCTATAAAAAAAAGTATCAAAAGATAAAACAGTGTTAAGTTTTTAGTGTCTTTGCATCAAAAAATTTAAGGCATAATCAATTAAATACCTAAATAAGATAAAGTATCAAAATGAAACAACAATGAAATTCACGACAGTTTCTCAATCATACTAAATAGGGCACTTTTAATGATTTAATTTCATTAACTGTTCTTTATCTCCTCGATTTCAAATTTCCTCTAATTTAGATAAATCATTTTTCTTCCAGAACTATGAGTAGAATTTACATTTAGGAAAAGAGTATTATTTTTATATTTCTACCTTCCTTAGAAGGGTAAAATGTTTTATATAGCAAGTAAAATTCAATACCACAATCATCTTTTTGCAATTGAATATTTTCATCAGATTTTAACTTTAAAATCATGATGCCATTCCTCGAGTCTGACATAGAAACTATAGGTTGAAAAGCAAAATAAAATTTAATTTTCTATGCAAGTCATAACACACGTAAATTTGCCTAATAATTTAAGCAAAGCTACTTTTATTCTTATAAAAATGTGTTTAAATTCTGATTTTAGGCAGGCTACTTTTATACAATGACAGAAAAACCATTTGAATTGCGAAGCATTTTGAGCTAAATTTGGGTCTTATTGTCAATCATCCCCCCTCCCTCTCTCTCTCTCCTGTAGGAAGCTTTAACATGCAAGAAGTACATTTGGATTTTTTGTGTCTCTTTAGAATTTCACGCCAAATTATGAACGGAAACACAGGAACATAACATTATGTCTATAAAGTCCATACATTGATTTTACGTCATCGAAAAGTACAAAAGTGTAATGGAGAAGAAGATTGACCAGATTCCAGTTAGTATTTTTAATATATCACCAATCGTCGAATAATGTTGACTCTGGCTTCGTTTTGTCATATCACGCTGGTGGGCGTGGTTTCATCATTCAGAGAGTAATACTGAATTTTTGAGTTTGAGCACTGTTCGCTAGCATCACCTTTTTAATATTTTTATGTGTGCAAGATTTTCATTCATTTCCAACACGGAAATATACCCTTTCCTTTATGAGAAAAGTTATTTTGTTCATTAATATTTAAAAAAAATCCTAACTTGTACTTTATCTTTAATGTTTAAGGGAAATGTTAACTCGTTTATGAAGCTTTTGACTGTTCTGTATACTAGTAGCCTGTGTTTTTAAGATTTACGTCTGAATATTTCACTTCCTTGTCATTTCCTTAAAAAGGAATACTTGCAGTTTATCTAAGAGGACAGCAAGAGTCAAATAAACTTTCTGCTGAACAGAATATTAATACATGTAATTTTGTTTTAACTTTAAATGCTGAAATCAAACAACTTACGCGTTCCTCGTAGCAACCAAAAACATAACGAATAAATGTGCCAACGATACGGATTCCAGTGAAGCAAACCTGCAAAAATAAAAACAAAACATCCAGAAAACTCTTTTGTAGACATACCAATGAACTTCAGCAAATATTTAATAAAGCGAAACAAATCACGTTGATATTGAAATTTTGATTCATCTTACCATCAAAAATGTGCATTCCAAAGTGAATAAAATCCATTATAGATATAGCCTTTTGATCAATTTGAAGGCTCTTTTTAAGCATATTTCTTGATTCCTTTTATTGACTTAATATCCACAATTAAAATTTTGAAATTGTTTGATGATTTCATAATTGATAAAGGTATTCTGATGTATACAGTCTGTTTTATCAATGAATTGAATAAAAATTGTTACATTTAACTATAAACTTAACTACTATAAGAGTTTGAACATTTTTGAGCTGATATTTAATCGACTGGTGACCGGTTTTTTTTACCCAGATACCCTACGGTATAGATTTTCTTTACTCACCTCGTTAGGAGGGCAAGTAGCAGCGGTAGTACAAGCAGCTACGTCACTGTGTACCCCCTCACATACAACGCATGACGCTTGTTTTTGTCCCCCAGCTTGAATAATGAAGGACAAGAACTAATTTAACTTTTGTCTTTTTTTTTTTTTTTTTTTTTTTTTTTTTTTTTTTACATACCTACCGACCCAATTTTTAGGGGAAAAGTCTTGAAAAAACAGCTGATAAAAAAGTAGCATTATCAGGTCTTTCATGATATTTAATAAAATATTAATCAGCTAATTAGAAGTGCGATTAACAAACTCATGCATCCTTTTTATATTTAGATCTTGTTTTATTTCAGGTACCTATAAGAATGTAAAATGTGCTTATATCAGGAATTTGCAAAGAAATGGCGAAGTACTTACAGAGACCACACAGTTTTGAGTTACATGGACCGTCCTTGTCTGGAGCATCACTGCAACATGCGGCACAATTCACAAGATCACGTTTTTTCCTTCCGCCTCCATTTAAGGCAGCCATAATTGCACATACCTTCATAGGAACAAACCTTATTATAGTTTATTTGTATATTTTGTATATATATGGTTGATACAATGACCTTGTCAGCAATACAATCTGTCATTAAGTCAAATGCTGACTGACGTTTTTCAAACTAATTATTAGGCAATTATTTAACACTGAATTATCTACGGATTTTCCCGTTTTTCCCGGTCATGACAAATAAGCACACGGCGAGTTTGACCGCCCAGCAGGGGATGCTCACTCCTCTATGGCACATGATCCCACCTCTGATGATTTTGGAGGTCTGTGTTTGCTCTGCTCCCGATTTGTATTGTCTAAATGGACTTTGAGCTTGAATAATGTTCGTTATCTCCATATCCCAAATAGTATTGGAAAATTAGATTATTCTCTCTTTCTCTCTTAAAAGAAATTTGAAATCTTTTTCTATATACAAATACCTTTAGTCTCACTGCCTGTATTAAAGTTTCTTCCTTTAAAAAAAATGTTTTTGCATAATTAGCTGAATGTAAGGTTACCTGTCTTGAACGGCATCCTGCATTGTATTTGATGCTAAGATCCTCCTGTGTCACTTTCTCCAGATAGCATTCCTACAAAATTACAACATTCAAGTAAATTGCATGTTTTAAAACGAAACAGTCATACATATAATATTTATGACTCTGATCAAGGTTACAACGTTTAAGTAGCACTTTCATGTAAATGAAACGTTTTATTTTGTTCTTTATATTGTGCATTTCTATTATTGGATAGAGAGAGAGAGAGAGGAAGAGAGAGAGAGAATTGATTGTTTCATTGATAAAATGACGTTTTAGATTTTCAGCAATTACATCTCGAGGTTTTAGTCAAGACATATGAGACGTCAATAAAAAATCAGTTTTTATCATGAAATATTTACATTTTGAACTTTCAAATATATGCAAACTTACGGGACATGATACTTAAAGCGTTTTAATTTAACAATAAAATGTCCTTTGTTGCCTCTTAAGGGAGATAAAATTTGCAACATTTAGATATATACCCTGATTGCAACCGTATAAAAAACAAGAAAGCGTTTTTATTTTTCGTTTCTGTATCTGCCTACAGATACTGATTTGAAATTGGAGAAAATATGTATATATTGCATTTTTGATTTTTTTTTTTTCTTTCTTCTTTTTTTTGTTTTACATGCATGGAAAGATTTACGATACAGTATTTCTCTAACATTTCTTTAATATTTAGAATAACAGATAGTTTTAGCTTAGAAGTAGATTAATATTCATTGCTTCAGATATCAACAATATGGTTTTCATAAGAGAAATGAGGAACTATTCAGTGATATAATTATCGCGTCTTATTTTTAATCCGGTCAATTTATACACTGGGGATTTTGGATTTTACCTCATTATCTCCACAATTAGCAACATTTGTAAAACATTCTTGGATATCAGCTACGTCAGTACATCGCATACATGTTGGTCCAGCCCGAAGTAAACCTGTTAAAAAAAGGAATTTAATGGGTTTCAAAATAGAATTTTGCCGTGAACAATTATTATTCATTAAAAACAAAAAGATATCTTTGTAAATGACTTACCATATAGGGTGAAGCAGACAGTGGTAACTACAAAGGAAAAAAAAATTATAACAGCAATACTGATGGTAAAGTTTCTTTTTTATATATTTATTAATACCCCCCCTCCCCCCAAAAAAATGTTGTAATGAAGAATATACTCACAAAATGTTGTTCTCATGCCTATAAAATAAAAAAAAATCGTCAAATAAACTACTAATTTTATATGAGAGTCTTTGTTTTTCAGATATTTGCAATTGTTCCAGTTAATTTACATCTTGGGATATTAAAAAAAGCAGATGATCAGAAGAAATTAAAAATAAAAATAAATATGTAATTATGAATCTCTCTTTTCGTCAAAGAAATAAAAATACCAATAACAGGTACATGTATGTGTAATTTTTAAAGGGATAATTTTTTTTAACCCTTGATTTTATAATGTTATTATTAATACTTTGTTTAATATTGCTACTTATATAGACAAAGCACTTTTTACTGGATAGAAGCTGCTTAACATATGTGCCTTGCTTATTGAGAGATAAGTTCATTAAGATTGCTGAAAGCTACTCACTTGTTGCCCGATCCCTCCACTAATAATCTGAAATCAACGTTTAGTTCAGTGTCTCTTTTATCTTTGACGACCAAGTTACGAAAAGGTTGACCTACACGTGATACCAGACCCAAAAGGTTATCTTTATGACACATGAGAGAACCCGTTCTTCATAACTCCCTTTGTCTCTGTGAGATTTCAATGAATACTAACATTATCAAATGAATTACATGACACTGTTATAAAGAGGAGAGCAAGTGCGGGTCAAGGTCAACTTTTCTTGAGCTTAGAGTTTATAATGATTATTAAAGGTGGTTTGAGTGCATTGTGTCTCATATTCTGTTTTGGAATAACAGGAATAACAATGGAAATTAATATTCCGATCATTTGTGTGCATAAAACAACAATTTCTAGTGAATACTTTTGCGAAATCAGACAAAACAAACTGCAAAATAAGAAAAATCTTAATAGATAACCAGTGAGAAACATTTTAAGCAAGTCTTTACATGGTGTTTCAGAATTATGCTGATTCGATAAATAGTTGCGTTCAAATGCACAAAAATTTATTACACGTTTATAGTAATATCATTTTAATTTCCAGGATATGGTTATTAGGTAAGGGTTAATGTACGAGTAGCGCTTCATTCCTTAAAAGTAATGGAGCCGAGACCCCGAAGGGGCTGAGGCCCATTGCTTTTAAGGAATAGAGCGCTACTCGTATATTAACCCGCGTAAAATCCACCTTTTTATAATGCTTGTATTTATATTTCTTAATATATAATAAAGAATATTTATATGATACATTGTAAATATACATTACATATTAGTAGTATTTAATTTATATAGAGAAAGTAAGGCGAATGAATGTACTGAAGTTATTCTTATCCGATGACGGTCAACTGCTTCGATAGCACGGTGAAATGAGTAGCAGACTACGAAGTCGGGGTTACAGGGTTCGATTCTCGACTGTGGTACATCTATTTTTTTATACGGGAAGGAGAAAAAGAACATAACAAATTCCGTTTTCAATGTAATTTGCAACTCTCCATTCCTGAAAAATAATGGAGCGCACAAACAAAGGAGTGACGTCACAGGTGGATTTTACTCTTCGAAGAAAAACCAGTCACGGTAGCTTAATGGTATGGCGTTCGGAAAGGCACGGGTTCGATTCTCGTTCGCTACGCCACGTCAAATCTATGACGTAAACATAGGTAGTTTCCCTTCCTTCGACGAGCGCCCGCTCTAGATACGAAAGTCACAAGTCTCTCCGATGAGAATTTAAAAATAAAGAGGTCATGTTAGGCGTTGGAACGATAAAGAACCCTCCGTGCTCGATCTTAAGTGTTGAATATAGGTCTTAATTTGAAGCCCTTCAACGGTACAAGGTGAAGTCTCTATATGATTGAAAAATTATGAAATGGGACATAAAACAACATACAATCAATCAATCGTCGAAGAAAATAAAAAAGCTAGATTAAACCATATAAACTTCTGTCAAAAGAGAAATCATTTTACAGTTCATTCTTATGGTTAACAAGATTGTTTTTTGTCTAATGTTGGCATATTAACTCAATGGGACGATTACCAGGCCATTGAATATAGGAACTGAAGTACTCTAAATATCTGTACTGGTATGATATTCAATACTAGACTGCATGATATAGTAAATGAAATTAGTGCATTCTTTCATTTGACAAGAATCGTGACGAACGAAGAGGAACGTATACCAAAGATGTGACGATTTTTTACTTTCTATGTAGGAATTTGGTATTTTGATTGATATATGTAATGTACTCTGTGTAAACACTTGCTACAGTGAAATATAAAGATAACGAACAGTAGTCGAGTTCAGAAGTCCATTGGAACAATAGAAATTGGGAGCAGAGTCTAAAAACATCAGAGAAGGATGAAGTCAGGTCATTATTTGCTTATTAATTGATTCTCAGCTTCATTACATGATTATATTGTTTTTTGTCGTGATTTTATCAAAGGAACAGAACTGTCTATGTTCAGTTTATATCACAAAGACCTAGTTTACGTGCCCAAAATTCCGCTTTTTTATGTTTACATATATGAAAATTAAATCATCAACTTGGGAAGTCTTACAAAGTGCACACTGTAACGTGTTGAATTTTTTAAAATTAAATTTATTCATATTTTCTGTATTTTGGTTGTCATTCATCAAACGTCGGCAAAACAAGACGGTCTTTGCTAAAATGTGAGCCTCTATTTCTGGGTCATTAACAATAATTTGAAAAATATACTTGCTCTTTTATAATTATATCCTCGAATAAGCGTCTTTAGGTTAACTTTTGATTTAATCTAATTAAGAAAAAACATTCCACTTTGCTTTAAATACACTCTGAGCTAAAACATGATTATGAAAATAATGTTACTGAACGCAAATAACAACGACAAGACGAAATTGCTAATTCAAACCTTACATCTTTTTTTGTTTGAGAACAAACTAAAAAAACAGCCTACCATGAATTTTAAAAATTATTTTACATATAAAATAATGATTTGCAAGAGATAGATTATTGTTTCACGTTTCGTATTAGCACCTTTCACATAATAGCAAAACCTCAAATGTAATTATAGTGCATAACGGGGTTATAAAAAATCGGTATACTAATGTCCATCTATAGGGAATGTTGTCATAAATACTTGAAAATTAACACGCACAGAAAACCAAGATCACAAAAAAGTCCTTGAAATAAACACAAAAATGGTAAAATACTAGTCTTCGGGGAACCAAATCAAATAATTGCCCTTTACAAATCAATAAATATGGACATAAAACATTATCTTCAACACCAGGCAACACTTGTTCAAATTATGTATGATGAAACGTGTGAGTACGATATAATATATGGTAATATATATGGTTAAGGGTAATCTAACAACCAAGCTTTATGATAAATGTGATGACTTTAACTTTTCAATCGTCAACTTCCCTTACTTATGCAGCAATATACCTTCATCACTTGCATACGGGGTTTATATCTCTCAGTTGATTCGATACGCAAGAGCATGCTCTACGTATGAGCAATTTTTAAAAAGAGGTAAGTTATTGACAAACAAGTTGATGAAACAAGAATAACAGCTGTCTCGTTTAAAGTCGTCATTTCGTAAGTTCTATGGTCAATACAATGATTTTGTCAGCAAATACAATTTATCATTAAGTCAAATGCTGACTGAGGTTTTTCATACTAATTGTTAGGCCATTCTTTACACACTGAATTGTCGACGGATTTTTCCGTTGTTTCACGATCGTGACAGGGAGCACACGGCGGGTGTGCCCGGTCGGCAGGAGATGCTCACTCCTCCATGGCACCTGATCCCACCTCCGATGTTTTAGAGGTCCGTGTTTGCTCTACTCAAAAATTTGTTTTGTTTAATTGACTTTTTGAGTTTGAATACTATTCGTTATCTCCACATACAGGTATTTATATTTCGGCCATTTTACAAAATGTTGTATAAGAAAAATACTAAGTTTCAGAACTTGTTTCTGATCCTTTGACTTTTTGTCAATAAAATATGTTCAACTCTAAGATAAAACGCTAAACAGCGTTAAAAAATAATGGAATGCTATATTCCACAAATATTAATTAGCATGAAATTCAAACAACATTTGTTTTGTGCCGATTAGAAACTAAGTTAAATTAATTAACATAAATAAAACATATTTACAGATTAGTAATTTTTTGCCATTACTCCAGATTAAAGAAATCTCGTACATAAAATTCAAAAACGGCGTTTTAGCAGTTAATTGAAAGAAATTTATAAATAAAGTGATGCACATAGCCGCTAGATTTATTTTTCAGGCTTTCCAAAAGTTGCTCCATGACAGAATAATACTCTAGCATTTCATCAAAGTATAATCGAATGTTGACAACTCTTCAACTTGTTCTTCCTGCGATGATAAGCGCAAGAACACAAACGTAACCTTACCTATCCATGCATCAATCTGCAATTAACTATTGTATTACATGTACTTAAAAATATTCCGATATAAAAATAAGAAATATAGTATATCTTATATTCGATGTAGAGGTTTCTAGAAAATTCGATTCTATTAATTTTTTTCAAAATACTACCCTACCTCCTATAAATTTGTTTTTATTTCAATGCTCTTAGACTATTAATTGAAACTGGTTTTAATTCGATTAACAATCTTGAATTGTTTATCAAAATAGAATGAAATTTGGAATTTTTTTTTCAGAAAGCTACATCTCTCAAGTTTTAGACTGAATTTAATTCTAAGAACAAATCAGTGGAACTAAAATCCTATCAGAAACAGAATCAAGAAAGATCAATGGTTAACTTCCCCCCAAAAGCATTGTTTTCCATGATGTAGTATACACGATTTCCACATTGAAATCAGAAAATATCTATAGGAGGAGTAGTGTTTTGAAAGATTTTAATAGAAATTTCGATTTCTTGAAACTATGTCAACAATGTACGTATGTGTCCAGAAAAAAAATACTAGTTGATTTTTTATGCTTCTACAGGACCAATTATTTGAAGGTATTTTGTAATATTGATTCATGTAATGTTTATTACATGCTATGTCAGAGTATCATTTCTCTAAAAGGTCATTTTAAAGGTCGTGTTTGATCATAAATGTTATACGTTAAAGATTTATATATTTGCTTTACCTTGGGAATTTCTAGACATAAGATATGACTTTTAAGAACTCATTTTAGATATGCTAGTAGATCATTTTTTATGAGCAATTCAGCATAGAGACTTCATACGTCCATGTCAGCATTACGTTTTCGTGTTTATATAACCAAAGGCATATAAGAATTAAGGATAAATAACACAAACAAACTTTTTTTCAGAAATCAGTGATATTTCTCATAGATTTATATTCAAATAGGTGACCTGAATAATGTTTACCAGGTAAAGTCGGAAAAATTTGTAAGATTTTGTCATAATGTTAAAAATAAGTGCAAAATTTATTATAGAATTCCTTAGAAAACAGCACAAAGTTACACATCTAAGCACCAAAAAATATATATCAATCCATGCATCAAAATTTTGTTTGTGTTATGTACCCTTAAGGTCAAGATCTAGTAAATGAGTTTAGACTTCCTTCTTGGTGCTAGATTCATTATGACGTCATAATTGAATTAAACTTAATTTTTCCAGTACTTTACAGCTTCAATAGAATTATGAAGAAAATAAAGCAATTTCATGGATTTCAATTTGAAATCATGTCAAATGTGACCCCGATACTCTTATTCCGTTTAATATCATTTTAAAGTAGAGATCAAGAGGATATGAAAAACCGTTTTCTGAGAGACTGTAGGCAATACTGATACATTTCCTTTGTCTGAGATGGAGAGAAGTCCCATTTTTATACCAGACGTTCTTCATTTTTCATTGAAAATGGGCAGTTTATCCGATGAGTTTACCCTAAAATTATGTCCGGATACACCTTATTTTACCAAGCTATATTCGTAAAGGATCATTAAAAGAATGTGTATCTCAAATTTGAGAAATCTGTGGGCACCTTTCATTCACTAGATCTTGACCTTAATAGCAATACAACACCATTCTTCAATATGGCATATGCTGCTTTCCTTCATTGATTTATCTTATACGAGGAGCACTGAATGTTTGCTCCTAAAAAGACCAAGGTACTGATTCCATTTTGCCTTGGTATATCACATTAAATTAAAATATTAATATCATGTTCAAAATTTTTTTTTCTTGACTCTACTCCATTTATAAAATAAGCATATAATATTATTATGCTGACCATATGTTTAAAATTGATTGATATAACATGTTTCGTGACGACCTTACATTCAAATTAGAAAAAAAAACCAGTTATGAATATAATGCTTACTATAGACACTTAGTAATTGTAAAATATCAATAAATGTGATAGTTTACCATTCTATATGTTACGTCTATTATTAAACCCTAAATATATGTTATTCCAGAATTATGATAAAATATATTTAAAAGAAATAAGTCGAATGTTGAATGCCATCTTATACTAGTTGTTAGATCATTATTTTCATACAAAATGATCTACGGATATCTCCATTTATCTGATCATGACAAGGAGCTCACAGCGGGTGTGACAGGTCGAAGGGGATGCTCACTCCAATAGCACCTGATCCCACCTCCGTTTTCAGAGGTCCATGTTGGCTTTGCTCACAATTTGTATTGTCTCAATGGACCTTTGAGGATGATCACTGTTCTTCATATTTCATGCAGGACGTCTATAAAAACTTTAACTATATGCATTTTACATGTGTATATGAAAAATGAAGATAACGAACAGTGGTCATCCTCAAAAGTCAATTGAAACAATTTAACAATTATTTTAGGAATGACTCTAATTCTTGGCCAAATTATTCGAGTATAACCTGGTTTGGGTCAGTTTACGCTTTATAATCCGCGAAGCGGATTATAAAACAGCGAAAACTGACCCAAACCAGGTTATACTCGAATAATTTGGCCAAAAATTAGAGTCATTTCTTATAATTTAATTTTAAAATCATTAAATAACTATGGGTGTAAAATTTCGTTGCTTTTTATTAGTTCAAATTTGCCGCTCAGTAATACAACCATAGTAACGGAAATAACGGAAGTGATGGGAAGCGAGGGGAGGTAAAAACTGATACATAGGCCTAGCAGCCTTGTTGTTTGTTTACATGTGGTAAGATCGAATTATTGTTTGAAGCTAAAGGTACATTTATTAAATCTGGAATTTTCCATGAATCCCGAGGACTGGAAATGAGAGGATTGTATGGATACAGATGATTCAGCTGGTTGTCAGGGGGGTGTGTCCTTATACCAAACCAGGTTATACAGAAATAATTTGTGTTCCTTTTTGGATATTAACCAATCAGAGGCTAGAATACGAACAAAATTAAATTATAATCAAATACTATATATATATATATATATATATATATATATATATATATATATATATATATATATATATATATATATATATATATATATATATATATATATATACAGTAGTATAAGTATACGTTTTCATACTAATTGTTAGGCCATTTTTCACACACTGAATTGTCTAAGGATTTTCTTTTTGTTTGCCCGACCATGACAAGGAGCTCACCGTTGGTGTGACCGATCGACAGCGGATGATTACTCCTTCTTGGCACCTGACCCCGCCTCTAATGCCTTTAGAGGTCCGGGTTTGATCTGCTCTCAGTTTTTATTGTTGTATTATAAAGATATAATTAAAGTTCCTAAGATGTGAATCAGTAGGTTTAAATGAGGTTAATAAAAACTATAAAATTTTTAATTAAAAAGAAGTGTCTTTTTTACGTCTTTATGTGGATTTGATATCCAAGCACTTGTTACATGAAATATATGGAGATAACGAACAGTTTTCAAGCTCAGAAGTCCATTTAAACAATACAAATTGGGAGCAGAGCAAACACGGACCTAAAACATGGGTGGGATCAGGTGCCATGGAGGAGTAAGCATCCCCTGCCAACCGGTCACACCCCCCATGTGCTCCCTGTCATGATCGGGTCATGATATCCAAGCACATTTTACATCTTATATGTATTACCTTAGCTAATGCAAATCATCAAAGGCTTCATGGTCGGTAATTACCTTTATAAACGCCAGACAATAAAGCTTGTTCTTATTCACGATATATATATATATATATATATATATATATATATATATATATATATATATATATATATATATATATATATATATATATATATATATATATATATATATATATATATATTTATTTATTTATTTATATATAGTGATATAAAAATATGCTTGTATTTTTAAAATGCATTACAGGAGATTAAAGAGATAAAAGTATAGTACAAACCAAAAACAACAGTGTGGTTTTGAAATAATATACCTTTATTTAACATTTAACATTTAATAATGTTGTAAAAAGCAAGATTTCTTACAAGTACAATATATGATCAAAAAATAAAATTTCCAAGTTCGCTTGATTGAAGAAAGCTGTTAGTGCGATCAACATTAATATCACATAGAAACAATCCTTCGAGGCTTTGATCCCTACCATAGACGTTATCCGAAGGTTGATGATGTTGAATTGTCTGCGTAATCACTATATTTCATTACTATAAGTAAGATAAAATTCAGATCAACACTGTAATGGTAAAGATATCATATGTAAGATATTAAATGATATGCATGTATCAGTTTTAATAATTATATCATCGATAAGATTGTAGTCACTCGTCCTGTGGGAAATGCAATCTAATAATCATATCAATTTTTAATCGTAATCTGAATAGTAGGTGTGAAAATGCTGACATTATGTACTTCTGCATTTTACATTGACTCGTTGTTCAACTTAATCTATTAGTTATAAGTAAATGTCACTGCCGAACCTATTTATCTCGACCGAGAAAAAAAAATTCTTTAAGATATCCAAAGTTCGAGATACCGAAGTTTATCTTTATGTTAAATTGCAAAGGAATTCCTGCAAGGAAAAGTATTGAAATTTACCGTTTTTTAGAGCGAAACACTCCGCTTCGTTACAATTAATGCCTACACAACAGGCATCACAGATGCTTAAACCAATATCCCCATGTATTTCTCTTGGCTTTCTAACGTTGTCTGAAGCTAACGACCTACAAATCTGTCAAACATAAATATATATTATTTCCCGACAAAAATACTACATTAAAATATAGTTCACTGTATCAAATTATAATTTGTAATAGTCTGTTTCTTTGTTTGTTGTTTAACGTCAGTCTCGAGAATTTTTCACTCATATGGAGACGCCACCACTTGCCGGTGTAGAGCTGCAAATTTTTGACCTATACTCGGCACTTAGGGCCATTCGCGCCAGCACCTACTGCGACACGGGACCTCGGTTTGTCTCATCCGAAGGACCGGTCTCCACGTCCCTTGGTGGGATTCAAACCCGCGACGTAAGGATCAACTCCTTACTCCGCGACTCTAGAGCAGACGATCTAACCACTGCGCCACGCGGGCGACTATTTGTAATAGTAAATTATAGTTTAGATATAATAAATCAAAGTTTTCACTGAAGTAAATTAAAGTATCGAAGTATTTAATATGGTAAATCAAAGTATCACAATTTTTCGTACAGTATATAAAAGTTTTAACTATAGTAAATCAAAGTCTTTTAATTATGAAATTCAAATTATTCTCAATTCCCAGATGAGATTTTTTTTCATATAAAAAGAAAAGATCAGTACCATATGAGAGAAAGCATGGTCTAAATATCAAAAATCTTTCCACAGAGTGGATATGTTTTAGTATATTAAAGTTTCATAGTAAAATCCAAAGTATTATAATAAATCAATGTTTCAAAATAAAGTATCAATGTGTTGAAGTATGAACAATAATCAATAATAAGCTATAGTGTACTTAAGTAAACTATAGTTAACTATGGTAAATTTTTCTTAAAATTAATCAGTTTGATGAAATGTTAGACTATACATGTAATTTAACCCTAGAAAAGGAAGACTTGAAGTTTCTAATCTGTAAAATAAGAGAATGTGAAACAGTTTTTTTTTTCAAAAGGGATAGAAGTCGATAAAAAACGGAAGAACATGGGGGGGGGGGGGGGGAACTTTAGCCTTTCTGACCTTGCCTTTTGAATGAGGGTGGGTGAGAGGGGGAATCTCTTTAGATTATCAAAGACTACTGGCATTCAGGAGAACAAATTTTGTTTCATAATTAAGCATAGCTGCAATCTGTTCATTTTTTTTCAGATGAATCAAATCTACCATATTTCATCTAATAAAAAGCAAGCAGCTACATTCATTTAAATAAATAATAATGTTCATATATCGGCGGGGAGGGGGGGGGGGTAGATGTTACTTACTCGTTTCTTGGCACAACCAAAAACGTATTTTGCTTCACTGCCAACAATACGTATACCTGTGTAGCATGCCTTTAAAAATAGAATGATTAAAAAATCCAATAATAGAAGATAAATACTCTCTACAAAATTATCAATAAATTATAAAAAGAAATAGAAATGCACATTTTTCAATATTTTTTCTGTCTTATAAACCTAACAATATCTAATCGTATTTACTAGATTTGAGAACAAAAATATACAGATTTAGAATTGTACACTGTGCACAATATGTCAACTAGCAAGGCCATAAATCACTCCTTCGCTGCACATAAATATTGCTAACAAAAGAAGGATTGTTATATATCTTTCGAATTTTCATCGACCATTACATTGAAATTGTTCTGCAATACATGAAAGGGAGATCAAGCAAAGCACAAACCACCAACATATATTTTTCTGTGTAAAAGGAGACAATTGTTTATAATTTGTATTTTACGTTTACCTCTCCAGGAGGGCATACGTCTTCGTGTGAACAGCTCTCTATGTGAGCATGAATACCAGGACACATTTTACAGGTCACTAACTCTGGGGCAGGAGCTATGAAGAGCAAAAAATCTTTATTTTTAATTTGATAAAATGAGTAAATTCGTAACAAAAGTATCTATGATTTGAATGTAAAATTGAAGGGTTTGATATGCGAACGCAAGAATGATATATTTAGGATATATTCAGAATCAGAAAAAGCTTTATATGCTATTGAGAGAGAGAGAGAGATTGAAGTCGTCAGACCTTGGCCGCAGAGATGGGAATTACAAGGCCCGCCCTGTGCGAAAGACCCATTACAACACTGGAAACAGTTGGTGACTTCTTTCTTTGGCCTCAGTAGATCTACTTTTCGCTTACCTACAGGGTTGTTGTGTAAAGAATTCAGAATGGCACACGTCTTCAAAGTAAAGTTGATTATGTTAGAAACTAGAGTTACAATGTTCTCAATGATGAAGAATGTGAATGTTGGCAATTTGTAAGCACAATATCATAATTATTTGTTATAGTCTATTATCATTATTATTATTTTTCTTGGAAAAAGAAAATTTATTTCATCTTTCATTTTAAGGAGGATGTGTGATAAACAATTTATTAAACAGATCGACCTAAGAATAAGTTGCACTTTACAATATGCAAAACATAACATTCTTACTGATTGTTATATCTCGCCCGTCTATGAATTTATATCCTCCTTTTCAAAATTAAGAAAATAATTTCATTTCAATTCTTGCAAGAATACAATCGGCATCAGCATAAAAGAAAAAAATACCGTTTTTGCTAAACACCCTGCTTCAAATCTGATCTCTGCATTATCTGTGGTATATTTCCTCAAATAACAACCCTAAATTGAAAAAAGAACAATACATATATTTTAAAATATTTTCTTTCAAAATGATATCTACAAATTTCCGGATAGGAAGGACAAATACCCCCCCCCCCCCCAACACACAGACCGTAAAGTTAATTTTGAAATTCTCTGACTGAAATGAAATTATCCTGTTTCGAAAAAAAATAAATAAAAGTATAAGTACGACGAAAGCCCAACAAAGATTTCCCCCACCCCTTTTTTATATAAATTAATAATTCTTAGGATGAATAAATGTTATATAAGCATATATATACTGCTAAATTAATGGTATTGAAAAAATAAAGATTGGCAGGAAGTATTGAATCCAAGATAAACTTAAGAGAACTTTTCGCATTTGAGAAACTAGAAATATCGAATATAATCATACAGAACGAATCATTTTTCTGTCAGGAGTATTGTACAACAATATATTCGAAAATGGTGAAAATCAGATGTGGATACTTAAAAACTCCAAGGAACTTTTAGAAAATTTGAAATCTCAAAAATGTACCAAAATCAATGACATCAAAACGTACGACTTTTCAACAGTTTATACAATTATTCCCCACAATAAATGAAAGTCCATGCTTTTTTACATCAAAGACAGCTGCTTTTTCAATAAAAATGGAGCTTGTAAATTTAAATACCTTAACATTGCTCATTTGCAAAATTATTTTGGTAAAAAAAACATTTTGACACAAGCACTTCAAATTTGATATTAAAAGGATGCTTGAGTTTCTGATTGACAATTTCTATGTACTTTTTGGAGATCAAGTCTTCCAACAATCTGATGGAATTCCAATGGATACTAATTGAGCCCCATTATTAGCAGATCTATTTTTGGTATTCATATGAAGCGTAATTTGTTCAAAAACTTCTACATGGCTGTGGCCTTCAAGTCAACATTTAGATATATCGACGACGTTTTATCAATTAACAATATTCAATTTCATTCCTACATTCAAGATACCACAGAGTCTGACACATCTGTTTCATATTTGAATATATTACTAGAAAAAGACGTTAATGGTAACATTGCAACATAAACTTTATGATAAACGTGATGACTTCAACTTTTCTATCGTCAACTGGCCTACTTATATCGCCTGCATAATTATGGAGTTTATGTCTCCCGGTTGATTCGATACGCAAGAGCATGCTCTGCGTACGAACAATATTTAAAACTAGGTAAGCTATATATTGACAATTAAGTTGTTGAAATAACAGCCTCGCTTAAAGTCAACATTCTATAGTCGATACCTTGCCAACAAATACAATCTATTATGAAGTCGAATGTTGACTACTGTTTTTCATACAAATTGAAGGCTATCATTTTCATACTGAATTGTCTACAAATTTTTGTTTGCCCGATCATAACAAGGAGCACACAGCGGGTGTGACCGGTCTACAGAGGATGCTTACTCCTTCATGGCATCTGATCCCACCTTTGATATTTTTAGCGGTACATGTTTGCTCTGCTCCAAATTTTTATTGTTTAAATGGACTTTTGAGCTTAATTACTGTTCGTTATCTTCATATCTCATTTCAAATACCTCTTTTCTTTAACATCGGTTTAAAATACATCGTGTCTTACATCTTTATCTCCACATGGAACCTCATACTGTTGTCTGCATTCTTCTATGGTTGTTGCATCTTGGCACTTCATGCACAGCGGACCATAACCGATAACAATATCTAAAGTACAGAATTCCAATTCTAATGCATAATAATCTAAATTCCAGCTTATTGCTAGATAAAATATTAACTCTATAAGTTGCACAAAGTTTCTTTTCTAATAAATTTTCAGTTAAATTACAGAATTTTTACGTGGTTAATTAAAATGCAATTGCTTTGCCAAAGTAATTATTTACACTAGAAAAAAAAACATTTTTATTTTTTGTAAAAATAAATAATAAATAGTTAAATAAAGTTGAAAACTACATATTTCCTGGAAAAGACCATGCAAGAAATAAACATAATTTGGTTATTGTGTTTCTTTGTGGTGATTATGTATATTGTTTTTAACAAATTGCACACTTACCACTGGTCGTGAACAACAAAACTGCTTGAAGGTATATGCAAAGCAAATAAAATTTTATATTAACTTCCTCTTAGGGACTGGAAACAAATATCATCAAATTTATTTCATTTTTAATTTCATTATAAATTTATTATTTTACTTGGTGAAGAAATGACTTCAAGTGGTATTTTGAAATGTTGTAAATAAAATAAAGACCCAATACTTACTAATTATATTCTTCAACATTCTAAAACATATATATCAATGGTCTTTAAAAAAAATTCATAAAAACTCAGAAAATCTAGGTACATGTATATGAAGGTCATGGAGAAGAAATTATATAATTCAAATAGCTTGTAGTCTGGTTGACCAAACTCTTGTGAACTCTGGCAATGTCACTAAGATATGTTGTCAAATTGCTATGATAGCAAGCATTCCTTAAGTATTATTGGATTTACATATATTGTTATATTGTTAATGAGTACTTTTCTTCAATTCAAATAATCATAACATGAATAAATCAGCTCCAAAATGCAAATGTCTTTGAATTCTGCGATTTGGGTTGGCCTATAAGCTTTGGCTGATATATATATATATATATAAAAAAGACAAACAACAAAACAAAAATAGCGATATTTTCTAAAATTCAACTAATAAAGGAATCTTATTATTTATATAAGAATATTAGAAGGTTATAAAAAAGGTATTATTATCATTATTGTTTACTAGAAGTGGGGAAAATTCATTTCACTTCAAAGCCCCATCTCTTTATAACCATCTACACTAGCGTATTTGTTGTATTTTACTCAGTGTAAATGCCTTAGTTTTCTTATGCAATTCTTCGTATTTATCTCATTATATAATTAGAAATAACAATAGAAAAATTATACCAATACCTTACGTCGATGCGTGTTGTGAGGAAATGGTTCATTTCGTTCAAAACATGGCTTATCTAACTTGCAAAGTTCAAGTAAGATCGTGTTTATAGAAAGGTTCGAAAAGAGAATGTAGTTTTGATATACTGTATAAAATACATTACCTATAAATCCACTGAAAAGAAAATGGTAAATTTTTAGCAGCCGGAACATTAGGTCATTTTTTTTAAAATTATCCATGTAGAGACGTCACTCGCTTTAGTAGAATTGCATTTTTGCACCTACGCGTCCATGGCGCTTTAAAAGTAACAATGAAGTTTGTCTGATCGATGTGACCAAGCCGTGTATCTTAACCACTTCAATATTAATATTAAATATTATACCTCATTAAGAGTATGGTCATTCATTATGTTGACCAGTTAAGATTCAGTTTCAGTTCATTAAAGTCAAGAGACATACATCTCATAGACAATATTTACAAACATACATTATAGTACATATGATGATGAGATTAACATCAAACATGTATAATACAATCTGAATATATTATAATATTATACTTTCTTGTAAATTAGTTCAGTCTTAGTCGTTGGGAAACATTTGTTAAAAAACACTATTACCCGCTGAATAATGAAGTCACGCCCTCCAGCAAAGCAACAGTCGACATTGCTTGACAATTTGCTAGATATTCCAAACATATTGACTGCGCAGAATTCATGCGCTCTATAGGTTCACTGAAATATGTATTTGTATAAAACATTCAGTATAATATAATAAATACTGCATGTTGTTGACGGTAACATTGAAAATTTTTACCCCAAGAAAACCATTGTCAACCGAGGCGCATCCCGTGATGAGGGGTGAAAATTCAGTATTTATATAATGATATCTACAATGTTATCATAAATTTTAATACAAATATAATAATGAAATTAACATCCAACATGTACATTATATAATATAATGTTATTTCAGTAATTTATAAAATAGTTAAAGATACTGTTCTTGTTGCACTCGCTAATTACAAAAGTTTTCCTAGATTGCATAATTCATTCTGTGTTCTAAGTAATTGTACCAATTTGAAGACACTTGGTCTTCGGGAGTAGTAGCTTTTTATGTTTTTGTCTTAATGTATTATAACGTGGGCATTTTAACATAAAATGGACTTCATCTTCATATCTTCCTTGTTCAATCATTAAGTTATGAGTAGATAGTCTTTATCTGGTAATTGGTACTCTATATTTTAAATGTATTGGTTTATAAGTAAGACTGAAGGGTAAAATTATCAACAATGTGTTGATAAATTAGGCATTTTGGTGATTTACCTACATCTGGCATACTGTTTTGGATATATATTCATCACATATTATCTGCTGTAAAATTTCAAGTGTGTAATGCTTATAGAATTACTATCATAACAGTTCAGCTAAACCCAGTCTATGAAATTCATTTTTAATATTTACAATCCTGTCATCATTATTTTCTATCCTATCTTGGAGACAAGCCTTAAGAATGCAATTATCACTCTTTCTTAATTTTAACCAGTATCTAAGGATTTTTTTCCTGACCACTTCAAGGGTAAATTTACCTAGTTCACAATATACATACTGTTATATGTATTCTGTTTAACCTTAAGTACTCTTTTACAGAATGAAAGGTGTACTTTTTCTACATCCTTAGCTTTGTGTCGTCCCCATATTTCAGATGCATAACTCAGCACAGGGCTAATATAACTCTCAGTCATATCTAATTGTGTTTTAACATTAAAATTTAGCAAGCCTGTGATTGCAAAAGATGATCGCCATTAGTTTTGATATATTATCATGCGGATAGTTTTACTCTTAATAAATCGACACATTGTTTTGTATGTTGTTTCAAACGAATTGTCGTTGAAATGAATTCGGACAACCGCGAGACACGTCCGGTCAGTATGGTCTCCTGTGGCGATTTGAAATTATTTGCATCCTCGTTTTCGAAAAATAAAGTATGTGCTAGACAAATAGCCACAAGAGACCAGACTGACCGGACGTGCCTTGCGGTTGTCCGGATTCATTTCAAATTAATTTATTAGATCAACTCTAAAATTCAAAATGTGAAACTGTAAATATAAAGAGTTTAAATAGTAGCTTAGCTGTAGTGCTAGATGTTTTTGTTTTAAAATTTTTTATGTCCTGGGGAAGGGACAGGGCGTCCCCAAGAATTAACAATTTTTAATTGTGTGTGTATTTAATAGTTATTGATTGGTTGAGAGATGAACATATTTAAATTTTTGCAATGGCATCCTGAGATTTTATATTTCTTATTCGATTAAATCAGGAATACTAGGAGCAGAGAAGATTTTCAAAGAATTAACGCCATTACACCATATACTAGTAATCGTGCAACAGAGCCCCGCCCTAACACCAGAACCCCTAACCCTGGGGCCATGCATATGAATTTCACAAGAAGATTTTCAAACAATGCACTTTCACTTTGTAATCAAAAGAGCCACCCGACAGAACCCCTGACCCAGTGGGGCCACAAATTTCATAAATTTGGAAGAGGCACCCTTGATCATCATAACCATGCACCTAGTTTATCTTCTTTATATACAAGGAGAGAAGATGAAGATTTTTTTTTTTTTTTTGGTAATTATGCATTTTCACTATATGATCAAAGCCCCGTCCTAACACCAGAATCCCTGACCCAGGAACCACGATATTAACAATTTTGGAAGAGGAGTCCTTGTTCATCAAAACTACATACTTGATTTATCCTCTAATACCTGTAAGCAGAGAAGAAGAATAAAAAAAATAATAATGCACTTTCACTGTATAACCAATAGAGCCCCCCCCCCCCCCCCCCCGGCAGTACCCCTGACCCTGAGGCCACAAATTTGGAAGAGGCACCCTTGATCATCATAATAATGCTCCTATATGTACATGTAATTTATCTGCTTTATATACGGGGTGGGGTTGGGGGAGAAGGAAATTTCTAAAGAATTTATATGCATTTTCACTTTATGATCAAAAAAGTCCCGCCCCAAAACAAGCACCCCCGACCCAAGGTCCAAAATATTCACAATTTTGGAAGAGACGCACTTGTTCATCATAATATACTTGGTTTATCTGCTTAATTCCTAGGAGAAGAAAAGAAAAATTTTGTAAAAAAAAAAAATCATATAATACTTCCAATATGTAATAATAGAGCCCCCCCCCCCCCCCCCGGCAGAATCCCTCACCATGGGGCCACAAATTTCACCATTTAGAAAGAAGCACCCTTGATCATCATAACCATGCTCCTAGTTAACCTACTTTTTATACAGGGGTGGGGGAAAAAGATTTTTAAAGAATATATGCATTAAATTTTTCACTCTATGATCAATAGACCCCCGTCCTAACTCCAGAACCAGGGGCCATGAAATTCACAATTTTGGAAGAGGCACCCTTCCTCGTCATAACTACAGTGTATGCATTTAGTTTGTTTGCTTAATACCCAGGAGCAGAGGAGAATATTTTTAACAAATAATGTATTTTCACTATGCATTCAACAGAGCCCCACCCTAGCACAAGAACGCCTGACCTTGGGAATAGAATTTCACAATTTTGGTAGAAGGCTCAACATGCTTATTACAATCATGCCAACAGTTTTATCGACTGCTTGATGTCCAGAATTAGTCCGAAATATCTGGCGTTTCTTGGGTCTTTTTAACGATTTTGATATTTTACGTGCCAGGAAAACATCAGAACAGGCGCCATTACGAAAACTGGAAATTTCACCGTCTCCAACCGGAGCTGGTTTTCGATACTTACGAACTGAATTAAATGCCGAACTTAGAATTTATCAGTAGCACAATGCTTCTAGTACTCACCAATATCGATGAAAAGAAAATATCACTCCAGATTTCGATACAGGTCTTGCAAAATTTTAAAATGCACGAAATGAAAAGGAAACACGGCGGTCTGATAAAATGTTTTCACCAGACTGTATATTTCACAGACAAACCATAAAAACGATGTTGGTGAGTACTAAAGGCATTGTATTATTAATAAAATGTGAATGCAGCTTTTAGTTCGGTTCGCAAGTATCGAAAATTACCCGAAAATGCCGCCTCCAGTTGGAGGCGGAGAATTTCCAATTTTCGTAATGGCGCCGGTTCTGACGTTTTCCTGGCAAGTAAAATATCAAATTCGTTAAAACAGCCTGGAAAACGTAAGATATTTCGGTCTAGTCCAGGATTAAAGAAGATTTTTAAAGATTGCATTAATTTTAATGGTTTTGGCCCCACCGCTCAGGCCCCAGGAGGGCAAGGACCATGAAATTCACAGTTCCCCCCCCCCCCTTCACCCATAGATGCTATATGCCAAAATTGGATGAAATTGGTTGAGCAGTTTCAGAGAAGAAGTTGAAAATGTTCAAATGTTAACACACATCGCACAACGACGGACGAAAACAGGCAGCAATAATTTAAAAGAATAATTTTCATAATTAAAAAAAAAACGCTGAAATTAGCACGTTTTAAAAATATCATATTAGATGCCTACATGCATATAATATATTTAACGTGTTAAATACAGTAATAATTTAAAATGCGGATTTTGCATTAATATTTTAATTGGTGTCTTCATACACACCTAGAAAAACACATAATACACAAAATACACCCTTCCTGAAACCAATTGCCTATGACTTTCAATGCCTATTTTATGTCCATCTTTGTATAAAAAAAAAAGGTTTGCCCTCATATATTTCCGTTTCTGTCCGATTGAGAAAATTACGAATTATTTGAATCCTCGTTTTGGAAAACGAAAGTATGTGCTAGACAAGAAAATACTCAGAATTCGATGAAAAACGATTTTTCAAATTGTTTATCTTAATATTTGATAGGTAAGTGCTGAACATGACTAAGCTAAGATTAAATGAGCATCTTTGTTTTACTTTCATCAGAGACTTGATCATTGATGATTTGGAAAACCCCTTTTCTATTTTAATCGTGGAATTAGCTCTAAACAATAATAAAGAATTACGTTATTACTGTATAGCTAGCATTAATTCTATTTTCATTTAGACTAATAGTGTAAAAGTGACTTTTTTACTGCAGAACTTCGGAAATGGCGACGAAATGTGGTTTTTGTGGAGAAAATGCTGTCGTTTCCGAGTCCGATGGATCGTCTGTGTCGATGCGAGTTTGTCAAGAATGTGGGTCTATTGACCAGGAAAACTTCATTGTGGAAGAAACATCATTTACCAGGCAATGCGACAATACTTCTGCCCACGAATTTAAACAGAGTTTGTCCAGAACCGCCCGAAATGCTCTCTCAATAACAACACCACAGGGACTAAAATCGGGCAAAAATCGAATAAGGGTAATTGGACAGACTTTCAAGATGGGCGCTCCTGTGATTGATGAAGCATTAAATTTGTACGAAAGACTTTTTAAACACCCGGACATTATTAACAAGACTATATCTAACAAATTGCTTTTAGCAGCTGCATGCATGTATATTATGATGCGTCAGAATAATATTCCAGTGTCAATCAGATGGTTTTGCAAGGTTTCAGACATATCTGTGAATGATTTCTCAAGTAATTTTCTCCTTGTTCTGAAAGCAATGGAAATCACTCTAATGCACCCCAGCATAGGGTCCAGAATTGCTGATGTGTTGGCACCTGCAAAGTTAAGTTCCAAGACTGTCAATTTAACCCGTGAAGTTATTCAGCTTTGTGAAAAGGTATGGATTGTGAGTGGTCGCTCGCATTCACCAATCATTGTTGCTGCTTCTCACATAGCTTGGTATTCTTTAAGTGAACATATGGGAAGAAAATCATCACTTCGTGATTATTGCAGGGACTTTGGATTCTCTTTTTCAGGATCAATTGCAGATCGAAGCAAAGAAATTCATGACACCATCTTTGAACTTGGAAAAATTCTACCATGGGTCACAAGACATTACAAGGATAAGAAGTTATTCATTCGGAAATATCTTCCTGAAATAATTAAATACAGGGAAAGCTTACTACATAAGCATAAAATAGAGGTGAAAGAAAAGTGTGTAGAAGTGATCAATGTGAAGTCTGAAAAAAATCCATCAGAAATAGTTGAAGGTAAGGTGGAAGAAAGTTCCAAAGCATCAAACATTGAAAATGAGACCAAACATAATCACACGTCTCAAACTTCTTCAAAAGAAACAAACAGTTGTGATTTTGAACTTAAAAATGTTGAAATTAAGAAAAATCAACAAAGTCCATCTCAAAATGATGGGAAGAATGTTTCAATAGAATGGGATAATAAATGTACGAAAAATTCAGGCACTTTTGCTGCAGTTCATGAAGTTGTTTATGAAAGTGATTCAAATCTTCGGAAAAATTTATTCATTCCTCCTATCTTGAAAAAGCCACGGAAGAGAATTTATTATGAAGCTATGGGAGATTGTGAGGGACTTGATTCAGATGATGAGTTGACAGAATTACAGGAAAAAGACGTTGATAAATATATTAGATCAAATGATGAAATAAACATGATAAGGCAGGTGAAACTATATAAACCTGATCAAGAGGAAGCTAAAGTTGAATTAGGTCCAACTGGAAAATAGATTTTTCCATTGATAATCATTGTATTCTTTTATTAACCAAAATGTACTTCCATGCCTGTTGGTGCCTAATCGCTGTCATATTTCAAGTGGAATGAGTGAGCTCCTCCTTCTGTACCTATGACTGTTAATATTTACAAACATATCATTTCTGCAGTTCTTTTGCCTAAGGGAGCTTTGCAAGAGTCATGTCTATTCATGTCAGAGATCCAATTTGCATATATATATATATATATATACATGAATTTAAACCACTGCTTTTCAACATAGCATAAATTCTTCGTGGCTTTTGCCATTAATCCTCTTTTTCCATTTTTCATCATATGCTGGTCTTCGTCATGTGAATAATGGGTAAAAGGAAAATAGTGAACATATGAAATTTAAAATCTGAATTTCCAAATTTTTGTGATTTTCATTAAATTTTGCTATATATGCTATAAACCTTGTTTTACTTTAATTTATCATTCACATATAGTTCAATACTCCAGTTTAAGAACTTGAAAATATTAGCCTAAAAATGACCACACAAAATCATTTCCATTTTTTGAATTCATTGCAGTAATGGTAATCATCAATGACAATACATATTTGTTAAATGCATTTATGATAGTTCTTATGATTTGTCAAAAGATCTCTTTCTGAATTAATAAAGAGCTCTCTTCCATAGTCAGACTTTGTGTAGCAGCTATCATCTCATTACAACTGAAAATAAAAACACAAGTGATACAGTGAAAATTTAACCAGTTGAATTTGTTAGAGTTATACAATGCATGTTCAAGTACAGCAGTTGGCTAACTGTGCTTGTAAGATACATTTATTTCTGTTAGCTGCCATTACTGAGAGCTTTAAATTTAAGGTAAGGAGTGAACATTTCTCTATATTATAAATGTGATGAAAATTTAGACACCTATAGCAGATACAGAAACTTTGGAAAATGTGCTAGCTCTAAAATTTTATTCCGAAACTTGGGAAAATGTGCTAGATCTTCTAAAATTTTATTCACATATACATGTACATGTCCATTTTGAAAAAAAGAATCTTGAGAAATTTTCTTAAGGATAGTTTGTGGGCTAACTGGAAATTAACTGTTTAGTACTTAAATGGTATACAAGTATTAAATTATTTAAGATTTCTCTTAAAATATTCCACAGACACAGACTTCAGTTTCTCAATCAAACACACAATTTATCAATGATGTATCTTTGTGACAAATTAACAAATATCCAAGGGGGAAAAATACCATACCTTTTCAATTGCTGACACTGTTGGTTGGTGTGTTTTTCCAGAGAAGCTAAATGCTTGGCGACAGTGGCTGTGGCACTCTGTAATGGCTGCCCAGTGGTTGCCGATAGGTTTCCTAGTAGGTACTCACTTTCTTGCAAAGTCTGCTCCAATTGGCCTATGGAATTATGATTTAATAAAATTTTTAAAAATTCTTGGCTTTATCTTGTTCTTCTTGGGAAGACAAATCTTGTTAAAACTTGCAGAATATTATGGTTGTGGAGTTGCACCTTTATCCCCCTTACTATTTAAGTAGATAAATGTACTTACACATGAAAAGTGAACACAGTAAAATTTGTCTAATCCAAAGATTGTGTATTCCGAAATATTGCTTATTAGAATATAAGCTTTTAGTTCCTTTCAGTAAATTCAATTGTTTGAAATACATATGTAATGTCTAATCTGGAATGTTACCTAATATGACCAGTGGAACAAGTGTCCAGTTGTGTCTGGATTAGACAAGTTTTACAGTATACACGTATGGTCTATAAGTTCATAAATTTTTCATTTGTGAAAATTACTTGGAAGACAAATTTTCAAAATATGTGATGATATTCTTGAGAAGATAATTTTTAACAAACCTGAAACATACATCACTTTGTCAAAAGTACACAAAATTTTGCTCCATATTACTCTAATATTACTGAGCACTGATGAAAAACATAGCAACTAAATAACACAGTTAACATGTAATCGTACTATAAAATAGTTCTTCATCCTGTGGAATGTAGATGCCTTTAGTTGGTATCTGGTGTCGAGTTGTATCTAATGCCTGGGCCAAAGTCTCATACTGCCTTGTCATCTTAGGGAGATGGCTAACAACTGGTTCTAAACAATCTTTCTGTACAAAAAGAGAACAACTGGATATCAGTACACCTTAAATATGAGTGAAGTAGACCTCAGACTTTGTTAGTATACCTCACAAAATACACAGAAGCAAAATCAAACATACACTAAGTTCAGTTGTCCTTCAATTCTCAAACACACATAAAGTATATCACATAAGTATTTATCAAAATAACTTTCAATTTAATAGTGTATCTACTTATATGCAAACTCTGGTAATTTTGAACTTTTTTGTTATGACAATGTGAGATTTGCACCAGAATTGAGAGAGATTGCTTCAGAAGAACACTGGGAATAAAGAAAATCATTCTTTATAAACTTACAGTACTGTTGTGATACCTAAATGAGTCCTCTGAAGGGACAAAAGTTTGTTATTTTGTGATATTATGGTGGTTTAAAAATAATGCTTAAGTTCTTTGCCTATTCACAAACCATTTACATCCAGCTTTAATACTGCTTGGAAGAAAAATTTATAAACTTCTTTTACAGCACTATATATAAACACTTTACATTTTGTATTTATACAACATAATGGTATATTAAGTATTTCATGCATGGCTTCTGCAACTCACTGCAGAAGTACTTTTTTTCGTGTGGAATTAATTTATGCTATGTATGTGGTCACAATTTTTCTGCGGAAATTTGTCACAGAGTACTTAAATGCATAAAATGACAATCTAAGAAATCTGTGTAATTTTTTAAATTACACAGAAATTATTATTCCACCAGGTTAAAAGGTTAAAAGCCCATGGAAAAAATTACGTTTACAGTACCTGAATATCCAACTGTTCATCTAATTCATTTAAATGCTTTAATCTAGTTAATTCTTTGTCTTTTTCATGTTTCTGTTTTCTAAGTCTTTGTACCTCCTCTTGTAGCCATAACATCTGAGACTATGTAGAAAAAAGTTAACTAATTAATATTAAATTGAGTTTGATAAAATTACTACCAACTATTTGAAGATTAAAAAAAAAGAAGCTGAAAAACGTCTCATAAAAGCAAGTTGTTTTAAATTTCATTCGAAAAAGGACTTGTACACAAGCATACCATTGCTTTTCTTTCCTGTTCTTCTTTGATTCTCTTTGCTTTGCTGTCGAGGTATTCCCACTGTACAAGTCTACCATACAACAAGTCCAGATCTTGTTGAGTTATATTGGATTTATGCTGAAAGTAATAAATTCTCTCTGTAAAATTTTATATCCAAGATATACAATATCATCTGTAATTCTTCCATTATAACTTAGTATTCATAATGTATACATGTCAGCTGCCTTAATGCAAGTTTCATTCCACCTCATGAAAAGAAATCAATTTTTAAAAAGCAGCTCAATAAAATTTAATTAAACTGCTTTGAACTTGACAAGCAATACCTTCACTATGGATTATCCAAGTAAGTTATTTACTGGCAGAATAATATGTTCGGGGGGAATCAGAGAATGTCAACTTTCCTCCTCTAAAATGTTCTTTTGTTTTTAGACTAAATAAATACAAACCTTAACCACACTGTCTTTAGAATGAGAATCTGTATTTACATGTAGTTTTGATGTATCACCACCTACAAATTTAAAAAAAGAACAAACCAGAGTACCTTTAGTTTTTTGTTGTATTACATAAATAAATGAAAGTGTTCTACATGTACATACAGTATTTACTATACAACACTTTCCAACTAAAATACATGTTTTATAAAACAATGAACTAAGCAATGGCAAATTAATACTTTGTTAGAAAATTCAATTTGACCTTCGACCTCTACACAAATCTTGACCTAACATAAAGACCTGACCCTTACCTTGACCAAATGTGAAGTCATAGCATTAATTGGAAAGTTGCATTTGATATTTGAAGAGTGGTAAGACAGAAAACATCAGACAATGATGTACTGATGGTTATAATAGAAACTATACCTGTGGATATTGCTGAGATGTCTGTTTGTAATGTAGAGAAGAACGATACATCTGAGGTTGGGGTCGATGTCTTCCCAGTTTTTGTGGTCTGTGTGTTGTCCGGGGTACTGGGATTTTTCTGGGATTCTGCGCGTTTTCTCTCTTTTGTTGGTTTCTTCCCTCTTTGATTTGTTTGAATGTCTAGACTACGACTTGCCTTGCTTTTGTCTGCCTTGGAAGACTGTATGAAAATATACACGGTTAATATTAACATTTTTTGAATCTGACAAAAACGTAGTATGGTAGACACCTAGTAATCATTTTGTCTATCCCTCTGTCTACATCTTTCTTAAAGACCACCTGTGCAAGCATCTGAATAGAAGCCGTACAGAAAGAGACAAAAAATCCCTGTATTTTTCCTCATTACTATGATTACAGATGATATAAAATAAATGCACGTTACATTTTCTGTGGACACACAGTACATGTACTTATTGGATAAAAGCAAAACCTGGGAAAACTTTTTGTATTGTTATTTCCAGACATAAAGAAGCCAGTGAGTATTTCCAAAATAGTAATTCTCAATTTCTACAAAATACTTTTCTCACAAAGCTTGACATATATGTACATATAGGACCTTAACAGTAAACTAAGAGGTGTAACTTACTTTGTCCATAAGTACAGATACAGAGCCTTTAGCCTGAGCAGCTTGCATGTATCTGGAGGGCACAACCTTGACTACAACAAAGAAGAGTTTGTTTTCTTATACATGTTTTACAAAAGATGCAATTTCTCCTACGATTAATACTACTAATGCTACTATTAATTAGGAATAAGACTGGAAGTCAGATTGCAATAGCTAGAATAAGGAATTACACCATAGACAGTTTATTTTCTGCAAGTTTGAACTCTTAAAAAATTGGAATATTAATATACACTAGGTACACACATACACATGTACATCTAAATACATGTATATTTCATTTTACAGTTCATAAGGATAACATCAGAAATCATATGCATGGGTAAAAAGTGTCAGGTCATTTAGGTTATACCTTCACAAATTTTTGTAACAAAATACATTTCTTGATAAATGACATGGCTTTTATTACTTATAGCATAATGTCATCATGATAAGACCATTTTAATTGTTTAATTGTCATCAGAGATTAGTCAGTATCATACTTTTCTTCTTTGCTGACCCCGGTACTTTAACTGTCTCCTTTGCTGTACTGACTTCCGTACTGACTGGTCTGAGAAAGAAAAAGCATTCCGAACATATATCTTATACCTACAGTGCATTGTATATCAACATGTATTTTACAGGTTATGTATTTTCAAAATTAAATTATTCTGCAAATACATGCAGAGCTTATCTTCCATTAATACTGAGCAATAAAAATATTCATGTACAAAAAAGACATGTAAAATGTATGTGTCTGTATTTCTTTGAGAACTTAAGAATACATGTACATGAAATTACATCTACAGAGTATATAATTATGAACTAGAAACAGGTAATTGTGGACTGGACCCCCCTCCCAATATACTAAAAGATCAAAATTGCGTTTTCTTCCTCACTTTTTGATTTTGTTTGTAGGTTTTGTGACAAAATCTGCAATGGAGCAGACATCACTCTCACTGATGAGAGACATGACATCAGACTTCTCCCCCGGGGGCTGTTGAAGATTCTCTGAATCCCCTGAATCGTCAAAATTTGGTTGAGGCAATCCCATTAACCTCTCCATCTGAGTCAAGACTGGTAACTCTCCTAACACTTCATCTGCACTTCGTGGTAGATCTGAAACATCATTTCAATGACAGTGTAACCAGTAGTGAGTAGCTACATACATTAATCAAATGTTGTACATTTACTGTTCAATGTACCAAGTAATTCCATCACAGGATCACTACAATTCATGTAATAAAGATACTTAAAGAAGATGGGTGAACATGGCGAGCGAAAAGCCTATAGTGTGACAAACATGAAGGTGAAAAATTAAATCTCAATTATATCAAAATTTTCCTTGATATTTTATCTAACATTAGAATATAATTTATGTAAAATCTCTACAATTTGCAAAGATCCCTAAAAGATTGAAATTATTTGCCTATGAAATATTATACATACACTAAAAAGGGCAAAACGAGTCATTTTCCTAAACTATAACACTATTTTTCGATATGAGTGGGTCTTCGCTCCATTTTTTTGAAAGTTAATCCTCAAAGTTTGCATGAAAATATACATTTTTTGGTTGCCAATAATATGGAGCAAAGACCCACTCTACCTTAAAAATATACTTTTATGACATAACCTTCGTATCTTTTCGAGAAATACTTGAAGTCTACTAAGTCAAGGGTCATATCACAAACATGATTTAAATGCCACCCTTCATCAGGACTTGTGTAGCCTAGTGGTTAGCATGCTAGTCTTGAAAGAAAATGATACTCAGGATTTTTATTGCATTGGGTTCGAACCCCACGAATACCAATGAAATTATTTTTTTAATAAACAAATAAATTTTGCCGAGAAAATTTTCCTCACAAAAGTTTTGTTTATCATAATTTCATAAATTTCAATCATGAGAACTTTACTCTTAATACTAAATTCACAAATTGAACATGATTTTTATGTATCTGAAGCTGTAGGCTTTCTGCACGCTATGTTCGCCCATCTCCTTAAAAATATTTAATCTTACTGAAATAATAAATACATATATGATAGGGAAATTCAATACAACATTCATTTTGGAATTTAATGACGAAGAAAATCACAATTACTTCCCATATATTCATGTTTATGTTTTCCACTTTATGCAGTGGATATGAACCATTTAATAAATTTTTCATGTCCCACTGCCTTGTCATGTCATATAAGCATATGAAAATGTTTACATTTGTTAACATGTACATGTAAGGTCAAGGTATCTCATTTAATTATATCAATGAGATGAAAGATTCTACTTTAAAAAGATATTTTTGCTTTTATTTCGGTACGCACTATTTTTGTGGTGTAATATCTTTTACTCCATTACGTCACACAACACAGACAAGCAGGATAGTGTGAGAGTTATGAATTCATTTAAAGTAGGTAAAAACATATTAACCAAATCCATTTTCTGATTATTATCATGATTATTCAACTATGTGTTTTTATATTCCCTAGCCAACAAAAAAATAAAATTGTTGAACACAAATATATGAAATCACAAAACATGAGAAATCATACATTTACTGCATCATTATATGCACTGTAAGATCAGCACTGAATACCAGGGACATACACTACAATATTTATATGTATGTTTGACAAAGTCTTTTTTTTCCCCAGTCTCACTGACATTGAGATACAGGTGGACCAAATTTTACGAGTACAATTGAACTTCGGTATCTCAAACACTTATATCTCTTATACCATAAATACGTTGAAATGATTTGGAAGTCCCAACTGCTTATTCTTTAAGTACATGTATTTACCCTCAATATTTCAAATCCTTGGATATCTTGTAGTTTTTTCTAGGTCCCATTGAGTTTGAGATAACCAGGCTTAACTGTACATGGATTTTCAAAAACAAACCTGTCAGTTTCTCTTTTACAACAGGGGATGACTTGTGGTCTGAAGGTTTAGACACCATTGGAGATGTGACGTGAACTACAGGGACATTAGAAACAGTCACCCTGCTTGGTTCACCTCTTTTTGCAGAATTCCTTTTCAAAAATAAGTTCAAATATTATTTAAAATAAATGCAATATTTTGCTGAAACTACCAAAGCAAGCATGTATGAAATACATACTTTAAAAAAAAATTATTTACAGCCTTCACATTCTGAAATTCACACACTGAATCCTAATTTATAAATTTTAAATATTAATACTTTGGGGAAATAATGATTGCATCAGGTGATAGCAATCAAATCAATAAAAGGTGATTAAATATATTTATGATATTCTGTTTGTCATGCAAAAAAAATTTAGTTATATGTATAATATGCAATTATACAAGAAAATTAAAAAAAAAAAAATATTCACCAAAATAAAAAACAGGATTTTTAAGTTGAACAAATTTACAATACAGGTAATTTGGATACCTGAGCTGCCTTTTGGCAGCAGCTGCTGAATGACAGACAACTCGAGCAGGAGATTTTTCATAGCCGACCACACCCACTTCCACCTGACCTGGGTCAATCAGCTGACAGGATGCATCCAGAACCATGACATCATTTGACTGACATTTCTGCTGTCCCAACTCTTCTAACTAACAGAGAGATTTAAAAGAAACAGGGCATCAAAAAGCTCTTTAAACATGCACTGTTCATTCAGAAAAGTAAGTACTGTTATTCATAATCCATGAACAAATGCTGCAAATCAAGTTTCATCAGCACAAACAAAATTCAAATCATTACTCAAAATAATGTATGTATTTACATTTATACTATTACCTTTAAGTTTTTGACACAAGTTCTACACATTATAATGATGCATTTACATGTACAATAAAATAGGCAAGTTCAATTTGTCACAAACTGACAAAATGTGAACTTCACAATCTATCTTTCAGCATTTATAAAGAAAGTTAACAATTAAGTGTACCTGAGATTTTAAGATATTTTCTTCATCACTGTCTGATAAATCCAAAAAATCTGTTTTCTTAACTCGAGCAGGAGAGTTCTGCTCTGTGGTGTGTGGTGCAGTCCTATAGAGAAGAAAGTTAATATAAACTCAATGTAGAGATTCTGGTCATTTACTTTGTCAAGCCTGCCTTCTTCTCAGCCAGACTGACACTGACTGTGTACATTTTTGTAATTATTCTAATTAAGAATTATCAAAGAACATTAATTATAGGATCTCCGATGATTTTTGGTTAGATAATTATGATTTTTATCCAACTCATTGGGTGTGTGTTTTTTTTTATCCCCGAGCCTTGGCGAGGAATTAAAAACACACAATGAGTTGGATAAAAATCATATTCAAACAAAAATCTTGGGAGATTTTTTTATCACATTTTATACATCACTATCAATGTTTAACACTGATTTTTTATATGAATCTACATTATTTAACTTCATCACTCTCATGCAAAAACCACTGTGATGTCACAGTAGTGGTATATGAAAATAAATATCCAATGAGTGATACCCATTGGATAAAGGGGTAAATGTGATAAAATTAATTTCTGGTATACAAGTACACAGTAGAACACGGTTGCATCAAACACACATACATGTATTATGATTTCATGCTTACAGCAAACTGATGTTTTAAAACATATTACAAACTTATCCAATAAAAAGAATGAGGTTTATAATGACAGTGTTTTCCTTTAATTTTAAAGTAAAGGGCAAGAGATCAATTGTAACAGGCTAGGGGATAAGGTTTATGAAAAAAAAATCACTATAAATCTTACAATGATTATTTTAAAATTTTTGATTTCTAAGCGATATTTTTATCAATCAAAGTTGTCAATTTGGCCAGTAGCCAGTTCTTAAGGAAGACACTGAATGAACAAAAATCGTTTGTCCTTGGCACTTTGTCATAACCGTATCTTACTGTATAGCCATAATATTGCTGGTGCTTAATATAACACACTATTTTGATGCACACACATACAATTTTACTTTCAATAAGTTTCATCATGTTCACGTACCCCTAGATTTATTCAATATCTTCAATATCAAACTTTCCCCAAGGGTAAGAGATACATGTTCATTGTTCAGATACATGTAAAAGCACTTTTACTTCAATATCATTAAATACTGATATGCAGTAACAAACTTTATCTCTTTTAACATACTTTCTTGGTGTAATGCTGGCGGAGGGTTCAATACCCTCATTGTCTTTTATCCATCCAGTAGAGGAAACAGTGCTGTGGCCTTCAGGGAATGGAACCTTCTTGTCAAACTCCTTTGTTTGAACATCTAAAAAATGTAGTAAAATAAAAATAACAAATATAATACGTTTTCACCAGTCTTTTAAAAGTGTTTCAATAGTATACATTCAGCAGATCTTGTTATAATTAACTTGGGATTAAAAGATCCATCTAACAGTATAATTTTACAAAATGCTTTTTTACATCCGGTATGTAGCCAAACAAACCAATGCAATATTGGGTGATGATGTAGAAAGTGAATGAGTTTAATGCGCCTCAAATTCTTTTGTCATAAGGACCAACAAGTAAATAGTAATAACAACTCATACTTACATTAAATTGAAAGAATTGTTTATCAAATTAGAGTTTCATGAGTAAGTAGCCATAAAAATTCAACACAAAATATTCTCCCGTTTAAACGTTACCATTTTGTTTACTGCTGTCCATTTAAACATTTACAAAATTCAGTGAACATTTCACCCTTAGTTTTGTCACACTTTCAATATTTTTCAGTGAAAAATATATGTATCATTTTTAAAATTTTATTCAATGGATATTGAACATGTAAAAAGTTAATCTTTACCTATCCCATGAGCCAGAACTCCTCTTGGTTTGCCAGATGTTCCTCCGGAGTCACTGATCAGCCGTCCTTGTGCAAGAGTTTTTCTGCAGAAAAAGTTGTACATGCACTATCCTGTTTCAAAATCACTAGCATAAAAGTGTCAAATTGAGTTACATTTGCATAACAGCATATATTCACACATGTACCCTTTTGATATACATTGTAACTCTACCTCAATAACCAGGTTGGAACTATTTGCCAAAATGGGATTATATCGATGTTGTGACCACAGGGGCTTGCTCCCGGCGTGTAATAATTATTTATTTAAAAATCATTTACATAAAACTTAAATAGCAGTGTTAGTGTTAGTATTACGTATATTAATTTTTAATGAATAATTATTACACACCGGGAACAAGCCCCTGTGGTTGTGACATCAGGCATGATATCGCATATGCAAAACCTGTATGTTTTTACTAAGTACATGAAGTATGTAATAAATAAGAATACCAAAAGTTGTCTCTTAATTTTGATGTGGAAAGCCGCCGGATATTTCATTTGAGCAGATGTTAAAAACAAAACCTGCAAAAATAGTCATAAAACAAATCGTTGTAATTACTTATGCCCTTTTCTCGTTGAACGTTTAAACAGGCATCCAAATAGCTAAAACTCATATACCTTTTCGTCTTCTGTCCAGCATTGCTTTGCACTGGGTTTACTTTATAAAGTGAACGTTTGTACATCCCGCTACCCAGCCTACTGTTTTGGTTTTGAACCGGAAGTTGAGTGTAAGGCGATTTAGTCTTGCTTAACTTGTTCCAAATCAATTCGTTCGTATGCTTTTGATGACGCTTCACTTGCAAGGTATTTAATTCCTACGTTAACATAATTTTCTATATATTTCTAAAAAAAAATGAAACACACAATATTTTATTTTTTAAGGTGTACATGTGTAAGTGGATAAAAAGCGAATTCCAGTAGGTCGTTGTAGGTGCCAGGGACAAAAATAGTTTATCTGGCGACCGCCAAATAAATAGATCTGACGGCCGCCAGATAAATAGATTTGCAGCCGCCAGAAGGTTAATTGGCGATCGCCAGATAATTATCTGGCGGCCGCCAGAAATTATATGATTTTAAAGTCATATATCAGTACTGAAATTAAAGATACTCCAAAATGTAAGGTATCTGCTTTAGTTTTAGTGTTCATAAGTTAAAATTATCTTAATTATAGTTTCTTTTTAAAAGGTCCTGGACACAGTTGTATTGCGATTTTTTTAAAAAAAATTTCTATTCTTATTAAAAATTAACTTCAGTTTAATGATTTGAACTTGCATGACCATTCTTAAAATTCCAAATGAGGACGACATTCTTCACAGCACCATGTCAAACAATTATTTTTGTAAACTTGGCCACGAGCTTTGTTGTTATCTAAACAATAAAATACTCTTTGTTTGTCAGCAGGGAATCAATGTTGCAGCTGTTGCAGAACGAATACATATGTTAATTTTTGTATTTGCTGCAACGTTAATTCTCATACTAACAAACGAAGAATGACAGTTTATTGTTTATATTTATGTCTATATAAATTATCATCTAAAGTAGAATTAATTAATATTGCAATAATGATATGTAAAGTACATCATTGTACGTTTTATTGATGGGAGAACGTACCCCTACTCAAGAAGTCAAGTGCTTGGTATGCCTAGCAGCGTTTACCAATTAATTGATAAACGACCACGGTTTTCTTAAGAAATTAAGGAGATAATACAATAATATCATCTCCTTTATTCCTTATGAAAACCATTGCTGTTAATCAGTAAATGCCGCTAAGCAAGTCTCTATAGATTTCTGAAGCAACGGCCCTTCCATCAATGAAACATACACTGTCATATACATATCAATAATAAAATATTTAACCTATTTAATTTTACTTTATACATATATAAATATAAACAATAAAATGTCTTCTTTGTTTGTTAGTATGGGAAGTAACGTTGCAGCAATTGCAGAAAAAAATTTACATTACAATTTAATATTACGTATATTTTTTCTACAACAGCTATTCTCTTACTAATAATCAAAGAAAGCATTCTATTGTTTAAATATTCACCGGATGTAAATATTAATGCTTACCATTTACCAGGTGTGTTCAAATTGCTTACTCTGCACACATCACTGAGCACGGACTGACAATACTGGTGAGTTTGTTTTGTTTTCTCACATTTTTACTCTGAATTTTCAGGATTATAATTTTTATTATATAATTTTTTTAAAATCATTTTTATGCTTTTCTTTAATACAAACAAATTTGCACTTTTCTGAAATATTAAGAATAATACAATAATATCATCTCCTTTATTCCTTATGAAAACCAAAAGTTTACTTTATGAAAGTGCAAGAATGTATGTCAATCAAATGCCACCCGAAATTCGTAGTTTTAATAGTTCCCAGATAAAAGATCTAGAAGTTTCTAAACACGCTTTTTATAATATTTCGCTGAGAAATGCTCTAGCAACATATATATAAATCATGATATTATACTGAAAATTCTAGAAAATATTAACTTCAAATATGTGTCCAAGCCCCTTTAAAGATGATAGTTCCACAGTAGGAAGAATGATGATTACCAATTGAATGTAATTGGCTGAAAATGTCAGACATTTTGTAAGAATTTATCTAAAGATTTTAAAGCTTTAATATATACCATATTTTTAATAGTTAAAAAAGGAAACTTTGCTGTTGAACAGCGATGTTTTTGTCTGTACGATATCATTCTGTAATGCATACAAAAACGACGTGGACAAGTTTATGCAACAAATACATGTATATTCGCAAATTGAAACTGTCTATTATCTTTATATAAAAAGAAATTTCACTTCTTTGATACTATCAACAAAGGGGCGTGGCGTGAATTTTGACAATGTACCATATTAGGGAAGAAATATAATACTTATTGTGGCCCCACTCTACCCCGGGGGCCATGATTTGAATAATTTAGAATCTACACTACCTCAGGAAGCTTCCACATATGTTTCAGAGCTTTTCTGACCATGCAAGTGGTTCTTGATAAGAAGATTTTTTAATTATTCACCTAATTTTTGTCTTTTCTTGATTATCTACCCTTGTAAGGGGGCTTGGCACTTCATTTTAACAATTTAAACTCCCCTTTACCCAAGAATGCTTTGTACATGTACCAACTTTGGTTAAAATTGGCCCAGTGGTTCTTTAGAAGTTGAAAATGTGAAACGTTTACAGACAGCTTATGGACGGACGGACGACGGACAATTGGTGATCAGAAAAGCTCACTTGAGCTTTCAGCTCAGATGAGCTAAAAAAAAAAAATAGTAAAAACAGCATTTAAAAAAAAAATCTTTCAGCAACTACTGAGTATCATGCTGGATTGCCTTGTTGGAGCTATTCGTTACTTACATTTTTGGCTTTGGTGAAGAACATGGAAGTTGAGTCAAAATGTCACAATTCGACAAGTGAGTCACTTTTACAGTTTAATTTTATTCAGATTTTTTTGTTTAGATTTAAAGAACCAAAATTCAAATGGCAACTTCAAGTGAACAATGTAAATATCACCTAACTTATCTCTGCTTAACGACAAAATGAAGACTGTTACAGTGAACTTTTTCTTAAGAATACATGTATACATAAGATAACTCAGACATAGAAACGTCGCCCGCGTGGCGCAGTGATTTGAGCGTTCGCTCTAGAGTCGCGGAGTAAGGAGTTGATCCTTACTTCGCGGGTTCGAATCCCACTGTGGGACGTGGAGATCGGTCCTTCGGATGAGACCGTATAAACCGAGATCCCGTGTCGCAGTAGGAGCTGGAACGAAAAAGATCCCTCACTGCTCAATGGCCCTGAGTGCCGAGTATAGGTCAAAATTTGCAGCTCTCCATCGGCAAGTGGTGGCGTCTCCATATGAGTGAAACATTCTCGAGAGGGACGTTAAACAATAAACAAACAAACAGATATAAAAACATTAAGATGTTCTACATCAAAATTATTATAATAGTAGATTGGGTGTTTTGAATGTTCTACGGGGTCTGCCATATTATCAAAACTTGCCGGAAAATTCATTCTTAAAATTGAACTGAGGTACTAGCATAATGATTTTTTTTCGCAGAATATACAATGATAAGTATTTATATTCATCTAAAGTATTTAGGGGAAAAATATCAAAAATGACTACAAATTACTGGAATAAATTTGTCTCTATTGTATGAGTATTTAAACTCTAAATATGATATATAAAGCGAACAAATAGACAAAAAGATGACGTTTTTCGTATATCAACATGTTAACCGTGATCTGACTTAAAGTTACACACATTTAAAATGTACCACGTGTTTCCAACAAATCTTCGTATAACCTGACTTTTTCAGAATCTAACATCCACTCTTCGTAGTAGACCTTTCAATGTCTGCAAGAACTCAGTCAAATTCAATTGTGCTTGGTACAAGTTTGAGGATCTATGAATGAAAAGAGGTTAAACGCCTCTTCCTCGAATAAATTCCCAGGGAACATCAGTTCAATGTAAGGATTTCCATAAAAGAAATGTGGTAGCAGTTCTGCATCAATATAAGTTGAAGATATTTAATAAAGTATCCCAACGCTTCTTTAACTCCACTAAGCTTTTTTTCTTTGCTTGGTATCGTTAGGAATAGAATGCAGTACAAGCAAATATTTTTAAGGTGGTAGGATTTTATTACACTATCTAGCTGAGAGTCGCCATGTGATTTGCGATTGAAATTGTATAAAGCACCTTTCAGTAACCTACAGGCAGTCATAACGTAACGCTGACTTAGGTTTCTGCGAGCTACATCTAAAATGTGCTTTTCATATCCGCAAGTTGAATTTCGCCATAGAATATCTCTATTATTTACTGGGATGAATTGGTTACTTTCATTGACCCATTTCATGACTCCGTATCTTACACAGGACATCAATTTTACTTGAGAGGATGTTGAGCGATGTTTGAAGCTCTGATGAAAATTATGAACGGTATATGGATCCGGTACTGTGTCAGATGACAAGCAAATGGCGGGAACCAGGTCTGCTTCTAATGTTTGTAGCACTACATTTTCTGATGACTGCAATGCTCTCTTCATTAATAAATCTTTTAGTCCTGATGGGCTACGCACCTCTATAGTAATTTTTAAGTTAGGGGCCTTTACACTACGAACAATTCGGTAGCTTTTAGTCGAAGTTGTCATTTTCTGCAACTGTTTGTTAATTTTGTCCATTGATTTGTCTAAAAGAGATGTGAACACTTTCGTCTGAAATTTACTTGTGTTAATTTTGTATGTTTCATAACCGCCACCCTCAAGTATACTGTGTCTTCTCATCCATGATGGAGTATTATAAGCATTGATGACTGTCTCTATGAAAAAGCCAGGTAGTACATTTCCATCACGATTGTAAACATCCGTTCTTTGGGTATTCAACCCCTCAATACAAAATGGTATAATAAAATCAAATTCTAATGATTCACAGACCTTTAAACCTTCTCTTGAACTTCCTTGTTTTATAAAGGTGTCATCTATAATAAGTCCTGGAAAATGGATGTTGGCCAAATTTTTCATTTCACGAGCTATGGCGGTCACAATCTTGTTCACGATCATACAGCTATCCCGCCAATCAGACTGATTTACATCAAGGCCTCTTTGTTTGAAATATTCCCTGATATCATCGTCTTCAGGCCCAACTTCAAAAACTGGCTCTCTCCATTCATTATATTTTGAACCAA